CTCAAAGCCTGCTTAGACTTCGGACCTAATGTCTTTATCAGCATAATTGGAATGCCATCTGGGCCTGTTGATGTACTACTAGGAACCCTTTTCTCAGCCCTTTCCCACTCTTGTGAAAATGGAGCCATTGCACCACTTGATTCGTCCTTGTCTATTGTGGTGCATAAAGTACTTCTTTGTTGAAATTTTTCTGTCACCCTTGTTCTTATATATTCAATAGCTTTGTCCCCTTCTAGCCTAGCACCTTGGGCTGTAGTTATAAAACTCTGCTCTAGGCTCGTCTCATTTCTTAGAGAGTTTAGATGGTTCCAAAATTTCGCAGCTCCTTTAAAATTTCGCAGCTGCCTTTCTATCTTTTTTATGTACTTCTGCCAGCCACTGAGCTCTCTTTCTTCTAATCTTTTCATTGATCAGAAGGGATGCATCCCTTCTATAGCTTAGAAAGGTTTCTCATTTTCTTTCAACATCATCTGTCGGTTCACCCCGCTGCCTAGCATGTCTGTGTTCCCTAGAGGCTTCCTGACGTTTTGCTATAGCTCTCTTAACTTCTTCATCCCACCAACTTTTGGGTTGGTGTCTTCTTTTCCGGGGTGACTTGTCACGTGCCTTAGCAAGCTTTAGCTCAAACAGTATAAAGAGATTCGTGTATGTCCACACTCTTTTATTGTCCTCAGGGATTACTTTCTCAATTTTTTTAGTGGCTATTTCAATTTGCCTTTCTGGATAAAAATTTTCCTGTAGTTGCTCATCTTGTCTTTTTCCCACTTTCACTGCTCTTCCAAAACTTGGCTTGATACGATTGTGATCACTACCCAGACTTCTGGAGCCACCTTCATCTATGTGCATTCCGCTGAGCTTATTATACATCCTATGTGACATCAGTGCATAAGCTATCGTCGACTGCATCCTTCCTACCTCCCGTGTAATTTGCCCTTCACACTTCTCGGTACTGTTGCAAATGATCAAATCAAGCCTTTCACACATATCCATGATCATTTTGCCTGTCGGGTCGGTATACCCATCTATATCTTCTATGTGCGCATTCATGTCTCCTAGTATAATTATCTCGCACTCTCTTCCTAACTCCTGAATGTCCTTTGATATACACTCTACCATTGCCTGGTTTTCCTCTCTGGCCTTTGCTCCCGTCCACAAGTACCCGAAACCAAGGAGTGTCATTTGACCTGCCACTTTCCCTTTTAGCCATAAATGTTCCTTGCACTCCTGCTTGACCCTTTGCCAGTCTGTACTTTTATGTATGAATGCCCCAATACCACCCCCCTTTCTGCTGCCTTCTGTTCTATTACAATATTCCCACGCGTAATCCGGATTGTTCGGAGGTTCTTCCATGTCCCTGAGTCGTGTTTCTACAAAACCGTATACCATCGGCCTCTCTTCTCTTAGCTGTTTTTCTATCTCTTCCCACTTCAGCCTGTTTCTACCACCCTGCATGTTAATATACCCGATGTCTGAATTGGCTCGGCGCACGTGGCTACGTCTATTTATGCCCCGGACTCTACCTATCTTAGATACTGGTGCCACTTTGGAATCGTATCTGTCCATACCACCTGTCGAAGAGCCTCCCTGGTTGTTTTCCTCGTTACTAGCTATCCTGCACCCCGAAGGGCTCGCTTGCCCCCCCAAAAAAGCTACTGCGCGTCCTGCAAGTCGCCAACCCACCTCATGACCTAGCCGCCCATCGAAGTGAATTTTGTCTCGTTGAAAACCACCCCACCTATGCACCTCTCTGTTTATTTCCACCACCTCAAAGCCTTTCTCTCGACTCATCCTCCATATCTCTTGGTTTGCTTTGACAACCGCTCTTTGCAGGTTGCTATCACGCACCGGTACCTACAATATCGTGCATATCACTACCTGTACCTTAGGAGAAGTGGCGCGCATGTCATCGACGCCTTTCGCCAGTGTGGTTGCTAGTCCTGCTGTATCTTCATTTAAGACATCGTTTAAACCGCCTGAAATTATCACGAGGTTTCGTCTATCAGCCGTAGTTTTGAGTTTTGCGCTCGCTTGCCTCATGACTGCTTCAAGCTTGCGTCCTGGGAACGCTCTACTGCAACCCTCTTGTCACCTCTTACCCTCTCTTTGATGGCTTCTGTGCATCGATTTAAATTCGAAACCCCGGCGATTATCATATGCTGTGACTTTTCAGCTGGAGCATCCTGGACCTGGGGGCTACTTGCACCTGTGACGCCGGCTGCTTTGTCCCCTCCCAGCCCCACCACTACCTCGCTGAAGCTGGGCCTTGCGACAATTGAACCGGCTGAACCTGTTTTTTCCAACCTTGCTTGCTCTTCCTTCTCCAAAGTTCTGGTTGCCGGTTTCCTACTGTTCTCTCCGTAGGCCGCTTCTTTGTTCAGCTTCGCTAGTGCTTCCTCGGCGGACTTCAGTCTTTCTCCCATTGCCCTCGTTTTCTCTTGCTCTGTCGCCAACGTAATCTCTAGCTCGGCGATTCTCATCAGCAGTTCACTCTGGGCAACCATCATTTTCTCTATTTTTTCCTCGACCTCACATTGCCTACACTTCGCGTCAGCCTCTTCTCCATCCACTTCTACGCTTGGGTCCACTTTCAAACCCACTCCACATCCTGAACACTTTACAGTCTTTTTAACCATGTCTTTCTGACACCAATTGTCCCTATAATCGATAACTACTAAACTCGAGCCCTGCACTACGAACAAAAGAAAGTCTAAGCTCTACTACAAAAATTTGCGTGTTCAATGTACGCAGACCTCCCCCACGGGGTGGCAAAAAAAAAAAAACAACAACAAAAAATAAAACAAAAAACAACAAAAAATTCAACCGCACACACCCGCACTAACTAATAAATACCCGGTGACTGGCCCCCGAAAAAGCCGTACCATAAAATAAGCGCTACGAAGATTTCAACCACTGCCTTATAATTATAAAGACAAGCTCAAAACATGCAAAAACACTTATCTTCGCAGTCGATCGGGAGCGCTCAAAAAACACGTCCATTCACCTTGACAGCCCGAACTTGACACATCGATGCACGATCGATGCACCATCGATGACACATCGATGGCGCAGAGAGCGCCACTTTAACGTAGCGGCGTACGCGCGCCACAGCCTTGTGGTAGAGGTTCTTGAATGAGGAAAGTGAAGAGAAAAGCGCGGAGCTGTTATTTCCTTTCAATACGAAGGCACCGACACGGCTTCGCGCGGGGGAAGGGGGATTGGGAGGTGAAGATTGAGGAGGAAAGTATAGGTGGGAAAGGACGCAGACGACTGTCTCAGACTCGGCCTGCGCTGCCGCCGGAAAAGGGAAAGCCATGGAGGGGAGAGCAGTCAGGCGAGCCGGCATGGGCGCGCCATGTGCGCGCTTTACACCCGGACTCACGCCGCAGCCTTGCAGCTTGCAGTCCTTGCAGTCTCTATGGTGTCAACGGCACACTGCGCACTTGTTGCAAGCTCCTCCCCCGTAGCATCGGCAGGCATCGGTTGTTGTGCTTGCAGTGTTGGTGCGTTCGGAGTTAGGCCTGTCGCGCGCTGTGGGGCGCGACAGGCCTAACTCCGAACGGCGGAGCTCACGGATGTGGAGATTGTCGCCGAAGCTACTGCTGAGCAGCCAAATGAAGACTCTGCCGAGGTGGATCCCGCAAGCGCTGATGGTGCCTTGCTCCCGACATCAGCTGAGGTCGTAGCTGCCTTGGCCCTTGTGCGCCGCCACTGCAGCGCGATTGAAGGCACCGGCCTATCACTTATGGATCGCCCTGGACTATATTGAGGACGCAGTCCGTCAAACACGCCATGGGCCAACAAAAAGCAGCTACTCTTTTTCACTATTTTAAACCAACACAATAAATACTTGTTTGAATATTCAAGTGCTATTTACTGCACCACGCTTGAACGGTTTGTTGGTTGTTTTCAGCAAGCTGTTGACGTATTTTTAGTTAGGTCATAATAATATGTCCATTTTGCTTTATACATGATATATTCGAATTCGATACAAAATTACTATTTGCTTCGAATTCGCTTCGAACCTAAAATTCGCTATTCGCACAAGCATAGTGCACGGTAATGTAGAGCCAAATCAGAAGCTGGCTAATCCTTTCAGTACCTCTCGTTGCTTGTCTTTTAATGCTTCTTTGTTTTCTTTTATTCAAATGACCAGATTGACAGTCCATCTTTCAAATAACTCTGTTGCTCATACTGACAATCTTGCAGGACGTCAAACTGATAACTGCCCGTTTCATTTTCGCTTATCAATTCATCACTGAAGAAATGCAACCAAAGTGTAGGGCGATTGTGCATCTAAAATTTCAGGCTGATTACCAGAATAGATTAAGCAAATGCACTAAAACAAAAGCGGGCCATCAGTGAAAAGAAAATGTGCTACCTTTTGCGTGCCGCGTGTGATGGTTTACCAAGTGATCGACAGAGGTGGTAATCAGTTGCTGTCATTTCGTTGGCACATTTGAGCATATGCAACTGCAAGCCAGAAATTGTGGATTGCGTGGAAAATACGTGCATCACCAACATAGCCATAAATGCACGTATATTTATCTCTATATGGAAAATATGAAGGAACAACATGGCGTGGCATGTTTTAGTTAGTCTGCCTATAAAGTCCATGGAACAAAAATTTTTGTTAGATCACAGGGGAGGAAATCTACTTAAAAGTGAATGGTAACGTTTCTCGAATATTCTGAGGTGCGTAACATACTTAATCAAAACTTATATTTGGGCGAGGTGGTTCATTGTAGAGCGAGGGAGTGACAGCGCAAACATCTACAAGAGAGAAGATATGGACCCGCAGCGCTTGTGTGGCCGTGTATTCTTTCTTGCAGGTGCGTGTTCCCGCTATTACTCCCGCGCTCATTAGAGGTAATTTGAAATGTGGTGCATTGCGTTTGAATGCTGCAGTGTAGCACGCCGATTACGCATGTGTGCTGGTACGAAATTGAGGCTACTTCAAAAAGCTTCTCGCTAACTGTCTCACGGTAACCCATTGCTTCCAGGTAACAAACAAGCCCGAGGAAGTAATGGGTGACGGTGCGTTGCTGCCGCTTGGTGGAACGATTGAAACGAGTGAGTGATTACTGTAGAGTTTTCAAGAAAGCGGGCCAGCCACAGGAAATTTCAGCCTTGTTTCAGTTGTTGTAAATACAGAGCAACTTCTGTGCAAAGTTTCGTACTTGAAACGCGAGTGGTAGCTTAGGGAAGAACTAGCAAAAAAAAAAGTTTGTTTTCAGTGCGAAAATAGAAAAATTGCTCATCATGACTGACGCATGACAAGGGGTGACCCAGAACACAAGGTCTCCAATTTAAGGAGGACACCTTGCATCTCTGAGGCAGTGTGCCCGGTAGCATGTTGCTGTAGTGATAACTTCTGTAGTTTCTCATGTGTTATCTCAGGCACTGTGTTAAAGGCTGCTGCGATGAAAACTGGGCAAGTACTCACTGTGCAGATTTGCAAGATTGCTTCAGGCATGCAGGCACTCCTTATGTGTAACATATTTAACGGAAATAAATTCTCAGTGACAAACTTTCAAACATAAGTTTGGTGCTAGATAAAGTAGCTGTAGTTACTTTTCACATTTCGAATACAGTTAAACTCCTTTATAAGAGGCATGCTCCGGGCAGCAATTCATGTCTTTTATATGAGATGTCTCTTATAAGCAGGGTACCCTGTATGAATTTTCCTATCCACCGTATTTTACTGTAGGCACACTGGCGCCTTTTATATCGATTTGTCTCTTATATCGTCGTCTCTTATAAAAGGGTTTGACTGTATAAGTTGTTGTATCTTGGAAAACCTACTTTAGCCAGATGTTCTTGGCGTCGAAGCAAAACAAAATGCTGCCATTACCACTTGCCCAATGTGATGTAGATGTCAGAATAGGTTAAGATACAGTGCAGCTTGTGGGCATGATCTGTAACATCAGGGGGTTGCTTTCAGTGTGCTGAAAGTCACAGACAGATGTAATGTCCTGAAATGCATGTTGTACGATAATTGGCTACCACCAAGTTTATGCGTCATCTGCCTAGGTACTGTTTAGACAAGGTGGCTCGTAAAAATACATTTAGCTAATCCAAGGTATCGACAACGGTACATGCTACTGCATTTTTTGGCTGATTTAGGTGCAGTAAAATTTTGTTGTCTACATAGACTGTTATTCACTGTTATTCACCTCTTTAGATCCGATCTCGTGCAACTTTTCAAAACACCGGTGTAATATAATACGGCCACTCTAGGGACACTTTTTGCACAGTCTCTTTGTGTTGAGAGCCTAGCACGTAGAAGGGTACTCCAGTTGCCCACTGTTGGCTATTGAGCGTGTGCCAGCAATGGTGCCTGTACCCTTAAAGGTACACTAAAGGCAAATAAGAATTTGTCATAGTGAAAGCTCAGTGTATGACTACATCTCAAATAGCAATGTTATCAACAGCAGTGCCTTACTTACCGAGAAATTAAGCTATATGTATCGCACAGCGTGCGCCATGAGTGGGACATATTGAAAATGATCCCAGTGAGGTGAGAGAGTCAGACTACAATTAATCATTAGTAATCAAACTAGCTGCATTAAAAAAAAAAAGAATCCTCAGTTTTTCAAAAGATGTAATAAAATACTGCTTGTATTTCTGTTTGATTTATAGAAAAGAGAACCAACCGCCTGGTTTTGTCAATTTGGACTTGATACCGGATCGCGAAAACCAGTCATATAAATGCTATCTCAACAATATAAACCAAACTTTAAAGCACGATCTCAAATGTTTGCTAGCTAGAGTTTGACACCCTGGGCACGTTACACCTGAGGGATGATCTTACAGTAGTGGCATTTGCGAAGGCCACACCTATGACAGTTATTGAGGCCGGGTAATTATAACTACAGTTTTTCTAGCAGAGTATGTGAATCGATGAAGGTGGCAAACCAATGATGCTATTTACCCAATGTCACCATCAACATTGAATGCGTTATTTACTACTTCAGCTTTTCTGTCTGTTGGCAAGTTTTCTCATTCTGCTCATGAACATGTATATGCCGGTTTGTGATGATAGGCAGACTTGAAGCAAGATTGCCCATCGCTTAGCCACTCTTGAACTAATGTGCCTTTGATCATTTAATTTGATTCTGGGTCGTTGGTGCAATATATGTGGGGAAACTCGATAATGGTTATGTTATTAGATCTAGGTGAAACTCCTGGTGGTTAAAATTAGTCTGCAGTACATAACCTACAGCATATTTTGTAGACAACATGCTGTTTTGGAACATTAAAGGACCACTGACACCAAATTTGGAAACTCGAGATGTTTGTGTTGTTTCATAGTTCTGCATGTGTGGGCACTTCTGACAGGTTATAAAGAACAAACATAGCCTTTCAAATTTTCTGATTAGGTTTTAAAGTCAGTGTGTGTACACATCTGAGATTTAAACACCTTGAGACATCATCACTAGCACGATGTAGACAGAGGCCCCTTGTGACGTTCCTTTGAAAAAGTGAATGTTGTAGAGGTCGTAGAACATTCACAGGGTGCACTCTAAACCACGACTGGCACCCAATGAGGACTATTGTGCCTCGCCCCTCATGCTCTGTTGTCAGTATGCTCTCAAGGGGGTCTTGGCTGCTTACACCAGGAATGCTTTTCTTTTTCCCAAGGAGGACACGCTTAAAGCAGCCAAATCTTTACTGTGCGTGGAGCCCAAATTCAAAACTGTGCATTCAGGATCACTGAAACATGAGCGCTTGTGGTCTCGGGCACTCCCCCGCTGTGGGGCGCTAGTTTATTACTATTTTCGTCTCAATTAACAATGCTAGCATTAGTAATACGAAATTTTACTGAATTTATGATTCAGTTTTGAAATTACTATAGACAAATCAACAAATTATATTAAAAATGTCACAAACCAAAATGTCCGTGTTGGGGGTTCGTTTAACACCTGCATCCTTTTATGGTCAGATGAACTTTTCTTTATTTGGAAACTAAACAACATGAATTAGTGAAGTTATGTCAATAGAATTTATTAGTTACTTTAAGCACCCTCTCTTCATCGCTTTGGTGGTACATTTGTTGGTATTGAAGCATTTAGAATTGAGGCGTAGACACCAATTGCAGTCTTGAATTTCAGCCCCGTATTATAGGGGCACCATTTAGCTATTGTGTGCAGCGGCCACTTTTTTTGTCTGTCAGCACCATATTATGGAACGAAGTTACAAGAAATTGCTTCGTGGACATGTGCTTTGTGGGCATACACTTGTCCTCGCCTTTTTCAAAATGTAGTTCAGTCGTATGGCAAAGATACGCAGAAAAAACTGCCACTAGTGCACGATAGCTAAAGATCTGCTCGATTGTATACCACTGATCGTATTTGGTTGTCTATACCTATAAACTAGACATGTGCGAATATTCAAAGTGCTCAAGTATTCACACAAATGTTGCAGTATTCCAATTCGCTTGGGCACGAATTTGAATTGTTCAAAATTTGAAAGTATATGAAATTAGTGAATAGACATATAGGAACTACATGTAACCTCTTGTTGAGGTCGTTTCACTTCAGTGGAGGGGCACTATATTGTGAATACACCTACCCAGGGGAAATCTGCACTGTCTTGAAGCCTCACTTCAAGGTCAAATGGCATATTATCTGCATATCTACTCATAATTATTTAAGTACATGTTGTCTTGCATTCTACCAAAAATCAAATCCTACCGCTATTCAATGTTGCTTCCATTTCATTTTGAACTAAGAGGAATGACATTTGCACATGCCTTGTTTGAGTTTTTAAAAAGATAATGCAATTAGGTGAGTTTTGACAAGTAAGCTAATTTTTCATTTGAGATATGTTGTATATACTTCTCAAAGTGGATCTGAAATAATGCGACCGTATTACTGTTGCTTCTAAACTAAATTTTGCTATTTGCACATGCCTACTATGAATGTGTTGAGGTTTATTTTTATTACTGACTGGTTAATTAAGCTTCTTTTTCTCCCATGATGATATCTTGCAGGTGGGTACAAGGGCTATGGCCTGGCCATGATGGTTGACCTGTTTTGTGGCATTCTGAGCGGTGCTCACTATGGCAACAACATCCGATCCTGGCTCAATGTGAAAGACCCTGCAGACTTGGTTAGTAATTTACATTGTGTAAAGACTCTACGGGGGTATTATTTTGCAGTTTTGTTATTGAGAGCTCGTTTATTGCTTCGCTAGGTGGTACCTAAAAACTGTTTGTACATTCATAACATTTTCCGTGTGCCTGTCTGCCCTTTCTGTGCTGTCGTCTCAAGGCGAAAATGCTCAAGGTCCGTTTGCTTAGCTTCAGGTGCTCATTAAAAAACCCCAGGTCGTCGAAATTTCTGGAGTTCTCCATTATGACCTTAATTTTCATCAATTAGTATGCTCTCTTATTACCATCGTTATGTTGGTTCAACCTGCACAGTGGTGTTGTTCATGATTACGTTGGCCTGTATGTTGTGCTCTCCCCTCATTTTCAGCTGTGCATTGAACTCGCAGCAAAGAAAAATAAAAATTTTTCCTGTAAGAGCATCATATACACCGGTGGCAATATACTGCTATGAGAAGGACACTGCCAACGCTTGCATAACAGTGTGCACTGCTCATGTATGCTGAGCAAGCATTGCAATTTTGCAGTCAGTAGGCTCTCAGTTAATGGAAGTGTTGCTGCCTAAATGAAGCAATAGACTCTTTTGATAATCTCCAAGTGCTTTTGTCTATGCTGCCCATTCCCCCCATCTAATCACTGCACCGGTTGGGCTTCTAGTAGGAAGGAGGTCCTAGTTACACGTGCTGGGGCTGGTCTATAAAGCCAGTTTATATCAACGGAACCAAGTCTACATTATCAGCATCATAGTGCAAGTAAACTGCACTTGAACACGTTTGAAAGATTGATTAAATGCCGTTATTTGGGCTAACTGCATTGCAGGAAAGTTGGCTTTACAAATGTGAAAAATGTTTATTGCCACAAATATCATTGGTGTTGTGGTTGCTTTCTGCGCACCTGTTCATCTCTCAGCAAATTGAACTCCTGTCGAATGGCACATGATTTCCCATTCATTTCAGGGTCTGTTTAATGAGAGTCTACTGAGTTGTATTTTTCTCAGTGTGTCAGCACTGCCAAGTACGAAAGGTGTGTAGCGTGCTAATTAAGCAAAAAACTTGTTCTTGAGGTGATGGAGTTAATTATGTAATGAGCTCCTGCTGTCTCTTTGTGAACGAGATCATAATGAGAGAAATCCAGAACCTCTTCTGAGCTGTTTATGACATTGTGTAATTTTGTTGCTATAATCCATCTTTGCTTGCATGGCCTACAATTAATTGCATCTAGCGAGGAAGGCTCCACACATGACATGTTGAATGTGAAGAACTTATATGCTAGTTTTTGTGACCGTAAACTTGATGTTGCCCACTTTACCTACAGGGCCAGTGCTTTGTGGCCATCAACCCAGCAGCATTTGCCCCCGGCTTTGAAGACCGGATGCAAGACTTGATGAACATAGCACGGTCGCAGGAACCGGTAAGGGTCCCAGAATAGTTTTTTGCGAGAATTAAGAACCCTTTGTGCAGACTACCTTGCCCCTTGTACATGTTTGATAGTTGTGCTTATTATGTTCAAATCTTGCTGTGGTCTTGACTGCCGTGCAGCATGTCTCACACGTTGAGCATCTTTGTTACCAGGCGACGCCAGGTGTTCCGGTCCTGGTTCCCGGAGACCCAGAGAGGCAGCACATGGCCAAATGTGATGCTCAGGGTGGAATTCGCTACCACGTCAACCAGATACAGTTTGCGGTTTGTCACGCAATTGAATTGAAGTGTTTTTCACTACCACATACTGTAATTGAGCCACGCTGAGGTCTGCAATGTGTAGGAAGGCTGGAACCGTGTTATGAATATTCCCATTGACCTTACAGACTACTAAGCGATTCACATGTGCAGAAGTTTCCAAACTGATGTTAAACGTTAAGACTTTCTTTCACAGCCTATGATTGCTATGGCTGCTTTGGAGTCTGCAAGCACAAGAGGGTGCATTGTCCTAACCTTCGCCTGTTGCAAGTGTAGTGGTGCTTGCGCTTCTGTGTGAGACGTTCAAGTATGCATGCTAGTTACATGCCCATTTATTTACATATGCATTTCCATACTTTATTCATTCCATACAAACATTATTGCAGGTGTTATAAGGTGTGCATGCAGTTCTAATCCTACTCAACATTTGCTTTCAGCAGTACGTGTGTTGCTTGATGAGGCACTGCTTCCTCCAAAACAGTTTTCTGCAACTGCCACAATGTGTTCAAAAGACTAAGTAGGATAGGTTGGTTACTGGCATAGGCATGTGCAGGGCTCCCCTTCAGGTGGGGGAAAGATTTTTTCCTTAGAGCAGGCATTCCAAGAAATGCAGAGGACAACTGCAGAAACAGATGCCATCTGTAGTGTGTGCTTTTACCACGCCTTATCATCCCATAACAGCATTTTGTTTATCTAGACGTAATGGTTAAATCACAGAGTCACTTCAGTTAGAGTAATAGAGACAAATAATAGATTATAGAATTAGAGTAATAATGTAATAAGTAATGGTTGTGGGCATCAGATGCGATACAACATTTGAAGAGACACTCATCAAGTAAAACAGCGAATCTGTTTAGACTGGTAAAATGTACTTCGAGAACTCTAACATCATTAATTTCACGATCATATGATCGTTTATAGAGGAGGAAGTCAAGGCCACAACATGATACTCGTGACATGACACTCAATCGATGCGATTGAGTGTCAAAAAAATGCGATCGAGCTCTCCTCCTGGCTTTTTTTGTTGTGCGATTTCAGGGGGTCGACCGACATTCGATTCGACTTACGATCGTGTAAATACAGTAGTTACTGGTATAGTAGTCACCTTCGTAAGCTGAGAAGCTGCATAGTTACAGCAACCTATGTTGCTCACACGATTTTTTTTACTTTTTCAGGATGATGTTGCCAAAAAGCTTGGTGTCGATCCACCAAAAAGGAAGTGAAGGCAAGGGTCATTTTGGTGACTGAGCAAGATGACGGTGAAACATAATTCCATAAGTCATATACATGTTGTTCAAAGCGTGGGAGGTCGCTGTACCCCTATTGACCTGTCCTGCTGTCCAGACAGACCATGCCAGCCACGGCAGCTGCGTCCAGCCCTAGAACACTGCCCACGGAATGCGCCACCAACTACATACACATATACTCGTCATCCAATTCTTCTCTGCTGTCTCCCCCAGGTGGCATTCTCATAGAAGTAAAATAAATGTTTAATAAAATTATGTTGGAATGCATGCATGCGATCGCAACAGTGCTGCTGATATCTTCACAGTAAAACAGCACCAGAAACGAACATACTAGACGAGGGGAAGGTCTCGTACACAAGGCCCACTAACAACTGTTATCAGTGCACCTTGTGCACGTGTCTTTCTCCTCATCTGGTCTGCCGTTTTACTTCAAAAATGAACCAACCAGCTCAAAAGTACACCTGTCAATATCTTGTGATACTGTACTGAACGGCCACATCTGAGACCTGTTGAATGTGTATTGAAGTTCGGTTGCGCAAGTCGCGTGGCGCTGTTTTCAACTTTATTTATCGAAGGAAGCAGTGCCAACAAGAGAATGTTTTCAATGCATCGCAGTAGATTACAGTGTCACATTTTGCCGCTGCCTTTGCTGCTGCTCCAGATTGAGTTTCTTGGATAGGACATTTCTTCTTAGTAAAACTGTAAAGGGCAAATGTAGTAGCAATACAAGAGTACTATTACTGCTTATGAACAGCCAGTGTTAACTTTCATGGGTAAACAAAATGCTTCGTTGCAGTTTTATCACTGCAGTGGAATTATTCCAATTGAAATCAAATGCAAGCAGCTACTTAGGATAAAGAGGCTTCGACTTAAAGTGCGCATACTTCTTGAAGTTTATTGGCCTCCAGCTTTCTGCTGCGAAGAAAGCGGTCCGACGCCTAGTTGTGGTTGTTGAAATTCCCATGGGAGTGAAGTCATTCTTGCTTTCTCGGCAGAGTACAGTGAGGCCGCAGTTTTTGTTATCTAGGGCAACCTGCTGTTGTGCATCAAAACTGTGCTTATCCTTTACTGATATTACTACTTCAGTGCTGTGCGAGACACATGTCATCTTGGGGTGCATTTCACTGAAAAGGAGCACTACCGCACAGTCTTACTGAATCTGCGTACCATATTTCGGTAGCTCTCTGAAACTCCCCATTATATACTGCCTAACTTCTGCTTGGCGCTTGCCATCAGGGGAAACAGATTTCTAAAGGGTGTGCAGGCCATATGGTAGGCCACGCGGAAAATATCCGAGGATGGCCGAGGGGCCCGTGTAGCCAGAATCTTCTTTGGTTGACACCCCCTCCAACCCCAAAAAACAAACTTTATGTTTACATGTGTGTTTGTATTTTGTATTTGCGCATGTGTATCACACATGCGCAAATACAAAATACACAGCGTAATCGAAAAATTCAATTCGAGGGCAAAAATCGGCAAAAATTGTGGAGCTCACCCAGACTCGCTAATGCAATATATTTTGCACTTAGGGTTCACTCGGGCTAAGACTCGCCAATTTTTTTCTGAGCGGAACGCACACACGAAAATTTTCTTCAATCGGACTCGCTCCAAACTAGCTCTCCAAAGCATTATTTACCCGAACTCAGACTCGTGGCTCGATTGCTGAGTGTGAGTTAGTTGACCCATGAGTGAGTTCGCCAACCTCGAGGATAGCATTTCACAGGTGAAACCCCTTGGCCTGATCTGAAAGTTGGGGTGGAAGTTTTAGATCGATACAGCGATATGACAAGCACTTCTATGACTTATGTAAGCATCGTGCTAGACGACACACTGGAATCTTGCACTGACGTGCTGTGCATTTAAGGGGAAACAGTGGGAAACTTCCCGCAATCTTCCTGCTGTTCAATGAATTTTTTTTTTGTGCTCAAAACAAAAATTGCACTTCGCAAGCCTTCTATGACGATCACGAGATAAGTACACTCCACTACGATCTGCAAGCCATGTATCAACTTCAACCGCTGCCCTGTTTAATTGGAGCCACGAGACGAAATGCTATTTTCCCCAATTTTCTCGATATTGTCTCAGTAGTTCTGCTTTATTCACTCTCACACTATATCATCGCTATATAGAGCCTGTGAAGTCCACAATGTGAGTATGTTGGTTGTGAAAAATATCTGTGCACATTCGTAATGTTTTGTCATTATTCAAGAAAATGAGGGGGATGCTCGAGCTTCGTTTTTAAAAGTGAAACGTGGTAGTGATAGTACCCTGTTCGGATCGCCTCCTCAATCGCTAGCCCGGTTTCGATACCAGGTGAACTCCTCAACCATGCTGTTAAGAAAGTGATGCTTGCGCGCGTAAAATTGGTCCTCACAAACTGTGTTAGAATGCCAACTGCAACAAGAGTTGCGTAGTGGGCTTGTTGGCAAGTCATGAAGAATTAGTTGCAGCGTGAACCAGGGCACAGGAAGGAAGGATGATTGCCAAGCAACCTGGATGCGATGCACTTTTGATTAATGTTTATTTATTATAGAGGACCTGCTTAAGTGGGCAGGTTATAAATGTGTATTTTACAGTGGAAGCTGTTATGAGATTATAACAGGGGTCCATTCCGGCACCGTAGTACAGAATGTGAATTAAACCCAGGTCCCCTGTGTGGCATCCTTATACTCTACCACAGAGCTACACCGGTGCTTGAAACTTCTTTGCAAGCTGACCCCATGCAGGCTTCATGTCTGGTAAGGTGTCAAGTTAACATGTGCAATAAAGCGGGTTTTTGAATGGGGAAGTAACAAACATACATCACACAATACGAATTGCGTAACGAGTGGGTCGTTGAATGCTCCAACCCATTACAAAAGCCTCGGGCATGATTCTTCATTGTCAGTTACACCATCAACAAAGTGTATGTAATGTCTTTCAAGTGTGTAATGGGTACCACACTTTTCTGAAGAATGACAAATAATGGCATTGTAAACGCTTCCCATCTACACAAAATTTTGTTGATTGAAGGCATAGTGGGTACCATGCATGTGCTTGTAGTAGCTGCTTAAAGAGTGGTTAAAAAAATGCCAGGCCTGTGTGTGAGCATATTCACAAGGAAAGCTGGAAGAGCAGCCTTTCAGAGCCTTTTCTAAACCCTATTTGGGTAACTACTACAAGCACACTTGCTGGGTACGTACTATACCATAAATAACTTTTGTGTAGTAGGCCAGCATTCACTATGCTATCCTTTGTCAGTCTATGAAGAAGCATTGTATCTGCTACACACTTGCTGGAAATTTTGTGCAATTTTGTTAAGTAGTGGCTGATGACAAAGAAAAAATGTGCCTAAAGCGGGAGTGCACCACAGTTAATAGGTGATAAAGAACAAGATTTCTAATGGGTTGGAGTATGGAACGACCCACACGTTAGACAATTCGTATTGTGCGACGCCTGATTGTTCCTTTGATGTTCTAAAATGCTTTATTACTAGTATTAACGCGATTCCTTTCCCGACATCAAGCTTGCCTAAGGCCACTTTAGAAACGAGTTCCAAGCAGTAGCGTGGCTCAGTGGTAGAATACTGGGGAGGGATGCAGCGGAGACGGGTCCGAATCCCATTGGGTCCTTGGTGTGTTTCATTTACTTTTTTTTTGCCTATTTCTTGCGATCTGCGTGCCAGCCCAGTATTTTGCCACTGAGCTACACCGATGCTCAGAACTCCGCGTTATCTGATGCTAGGCTGGCCTCGTGTGAGGAAAAAATCGCAATAAAGTATGTTATAAAGCGTTTATAGCAGCAAAGGAGCAGCCAGGCGTCACAAAATGCGAATCGCGTAATGAACTGGGTGGTCGATGGTACAGCGATTTACGATAGCGCTAGGCATACTCCATCTTCGGCAGCCACAGTATCAAAAATTGCTCAAAATTTCTTGCAAGTGTGCAATGGGTATCACACTTCACCGAAGAATGATGTAGGATGGCATAGTGAATGGCTGCACAAGAGTTATGATGATATATGGCATAGTGGGTACCCTGCGGGTGTGCTTGTAGCAGTAACCGAAAGAGTGTTTAAAAGTCTCTGAAAGGCCACTCTTCCAGCTTAGGCTGTGACTGTGCTGCGCGTTGCGCGCAGTTCTGGCGGTTTCTGTCTATGTATCTATCGATCTATCTATCTAGTCGCTTACGTCTAGGTGCTCCCGTGACCACCCCCCTGACTTGGCCCGAACCAAAATTAGTATGGTAGGGTAAGATGGTTTGACGAATATGACGCGCTGGTCAATTCATGACTGATGAATAATGTCACAATCCCGTCGTGTAAGTTGTCAGTTTTCCGCCAGGCAGTCGCACATATCCGCGGGTGGGTATGTGCCACTGATATGCAGGTATGTGCCACGGGTGATTGACACATAGTGTCTACTCAGGAACGGCGATAACACACAGGGGTAATTTTAATGCGAGAGCGAGAAGCAAAAGCTAATATCGGCGGTGTTGGTCATACGAATGCAAAGAATATATAAACACGGTCCCAACAGGAATCGAACCCCAACATTCTGCGTGGCAATCAAGTATTCTGCCACAAAGCCATGCCAGGTCTTGGAACTACTTTTCAATTAGACTCTAATATTTGTGAAACGTCAATTATGGCTATTCAGCTTTATAAACGCGAACACCAGTGCTTCATATCACCCTATCGCTTCTGGTGTTGCTAAAACTCTAATCCTGTTGGCATCGCAAAGCAAGTTCAAACCACTGGTTATATAAACATACGCGACTGTTCATGTTTTTGCGCACAACATTTTTACATATATTTCGATTATCTCATAAGGTGTTGCTGAATAAAAAAAAACTATGGACCATCTCCCCGAACGGAGCCCTGATGAAATGCGAAGCAGCAGCAGTGCGCACGGCGTTCGGTTTGAAACGTGAAGACACGGGAGGCGGGACACGTTGAAGACACTTGCGCTCGGCTTCCTTGGCTCGCGTCTCGTCGGTGTTACCCGCGCGCCGTCTGTATTCTCAAACTCGATTGGTGTTCTTGACTCGCACTTCGTCGGTGTCGCTGGTTTTCCACAGCCGACACTTGCGCTCGGCTTCCCTGGATCGCGCCTCGTCGGTGTTGACGTCACCATTCGTGAGCGCGATTGGCTTCACTAACCGTCGCAATGCCGGCGACAGCCGGAAAAGATACGCGCACACTAGCGGGAAGCATGCCGCGACGGGGTCCCGCCAGTGGGCGTGATCGCGCGGCAAGCAGCGGCACGTTGTCCACA